CTTGCTGCACACGGCACCAATAGCATAGCCAGATGCATCACAATGCACTTCGAAGGGTTTATCAAGATCTGGGATCCTAAGAACAGGAACTATAGTCAAGATCTCCTTCAACCGTGCAAAAGCACGCTGGCAAGTTGGTGTCCAATGAAATGGAATACTACTCCTTGTCAACTCAGTCAACGGAAGAGTAATCCTTGCAAAATTGTGGACAAACTTGCGATAGTATCCCGCTAAACCGAGAAAGGATCGAACATCTGATACAGTGGTCAGAACTTCCTAGGACTTCACTGCTTCCACCTTCTTTGGATCGACCTCAATCACGCCACCACCAACTATATGTCCGAGAAAGTTTACGCGCAATTGTCCAAAAGCGCATTTACTTTCCTTAGCATACAGTTTATGTTCGTGCAACTTCTGAAACACCAGCTCCAAGTGTTTCAAATGATCCTATATGTATATATATGTATATGTATATGTATATATATGTATATGTATATGTATATATATATGTATATATATATGTATATATATGTATATATATATGTATATATATATATATATATGTATATATATATATATATATATATAAAGTTGCCTCTATTGTTGGGGTTGGACTCCCATTTGTCCTCTCTACCCTCTTTGAAGGAAAAAAAGTTTGAAAAATCGCGGGCAAAAATGAAAAAGAGAGAAAAATTAGAAAAACCATTATAGAAGAAAAAAAATAGATAAAAAAGCATTGAAAGAGAAATTTTCAGTAGTTGGCAATGTGGAAATAGGGAAATAAAAAAAAGGATATATTCTCAAAGTTTAGAAAATAAGATGTCATAAAATACTTTAGTTACCACAATATAAGCAAAAAATTCACATTATTTAACCTCCTCAACATATAACTCAATATTTAAGATTAAAAAATCAACAGAAATATCCACACTCTTAAAGGAATATATAAAATCATTAGCAGTAATAGTAAAATAAAGGCTCTTCATGGGACTCCTATGTGGGGACATGCACTCAATTTAAAACTTTAGTTAAAGTGATTTAACATGGGAATATTGAACACTAGAATTGATTAAAAATTCTACCAATGAAACAAAAGAAATATTCTCAACTTCATGCACATGCTCAACATCTAAATTAGTATAAGGAAGAAAAAAAGAACACTCAACTCAACACTAAATTGAGATAAGAATTATGTAAGTTATAAATGATTATGCACTAGGAAATACTGCAGATGAAGAATAAACAATAGAAACATATATTTATAAGCCTTATAGTTTGATATTATATCTTTTTTTTATAAAAATATAAGGAGAAATAAATTCATGGAATAACAGAAAAACTTAAATAATATAAAATGATTTTTATATGAGAAAGTAAAATTTGAAATATTACCATTTGCAAAATTTTATAATACAATTTTTTTTTTGGAAAATTATTTAGCACATAATTAGGAAGTGGCTACCACCATCCAACCTGGCCAAAGTTTGTGTTCTGTCCACAACTAAAACCAAAATAGATATCATAGCCATGAAATCAGCGTAGATGGGTAAGTTGCTTGTCATCCCAATATATGGGAATGGATGCCCATGCAAGGTTGTCATTCTTGTTGCTGCTGTCCACAGGCATCCTCTCAGTGTCGTGATCCTTACTGCTGCTGTCCATTGGCGCCATCTCATAGTAGCTGAAAAAGGTTTGGTTAATAAGCCTGTGGGGATGACGTTTTTTTCATGTATCCTGAGTCATTAGTTAGAGGATGAATTGCCAGAAGATCTTGCTGCCATGTTCCTCCTTGAGATCCTTCAAAGCTTCCAACACTTGAAAGCTTCGAACATGAGCATATTGTGCACTTCTTTTACCTTGCACTGAATGAACTGGCCTCACCAGTTTACTTTGGAAGTCCAGTTTACTTTTTGGGTGGATGAAATTTAAATTGATTTTTTTAGTTACATTCTCACTAAACAAGTCCTCAATGCATGTAACAGATTCTTCACAGCATGACGTGGAGGTTGGTTTGCTCGTCCTGTTCAGCCATTGACAATCTTGCCAAGCCTGACAGAGGTTCCAACAGAGTGGGAGTTATGCTCCATTCGAAGGTCCTTTCCCACATTTTGGCCTCCACCCACGGCTTGAATCCCAGACGTACTTCTGAAATCCTTCGCGTATCCCTTAATGTATGCTCTTCAATAATAAACCTTTTCTTCCATTGGGGTTTCGCTCAGATGTTTGAAAGTAGCGGAGTAGAGTTCGGCAAGAGATTGGGGGTGATCAAGCTGAGGGATGTGGAACCCAGTTTGGTTATCCCAGTAGGCTTCGCAAGTGGAGAGGAGCTGGCTGACTTTGGTTTTGCTGCAGTGCTTTGAAGAAGCTTTCAGTGGCAAAGCCTACGACGCAAGCTGTAGAGTTTTCCGGACGCTGCTTGGTCACGGTACGTTAGCTAGATAGAGATTCTTTTGTTGTTTTGGAGCAGTCGTCAGTGATTATCTCTTATAAGATGCTTGACACTTTGGAGCTCTTCGATTCGCGCTCCAAGAACGAAGTTCTTGACCTGCATCTGGTAGCTCCTCCTTTCTCATTTGTGCAACATAGCCATTTGTGTGTTTGCACCTATATGTTCATGCTGTTGGTAAGCTTGCATGCAGCTGTTATTCTCGAGGACTGACAATCACATCGCAGGTGAAGCGGCAACCTTAATCAGGCTGTGAACAGTTATTGGTCGATGGGTAATCATAACTGCTGTGTCGGTTCCATCCAGGTTTCTGATTCTTTTATACAGTCTCTTTTGATGAAGTGCCAGATGATTGCTCTGCACTTGTGTATCGCGGGAGAGATTTTCTTAGTGAGGCCAGTTCATTCATTCTTGCTTTCCGTAACCATCTTGTTTGTAGTGTCTATGGATGCTAAGGACGGAGTGGCGCTATCCTGCATGGGCTTGGACTTGCAGGAGGCGTTTGAAATAGCAGGAGCGCTCATGGCCATCGACGCGACCCGGCTGATCCGTGGAGCTTTTGACAATATCGAGTTGGCGACAAATCGTGATCGCCTTGTTTATACAAGTCAGCGCTATGATTCTACGTTGAAGCTCGTTAAGGTGTGTTTTATAACCAAGTTCTGTTGCTTCTCTTTGTCTTTCTGCAGTTGATATTCAGATTCTACGAGTTCGACTGTCTTGGAGACGACGAATTAGGAAGCAGAGCCCAATATCTGTGGGAAAGGTGGGTTTGTGTTTAGTTTGACACTGTATGACCCCGCTTCAGGTTTCTGCCTTCTTTTCCTTTGACAAGGCGACTTATTCTCTTATTGTCAATCTAGTTGCTGACCATACCCAAGGATGTTGTGAAACACAAGTGGCCGGTGGAAAAGGAAGGCCATGAGTCGACGTTCGAGATACTCAGGGACATAGTGAATCGGCTCTTTGCTTTTGCCCACTATCCGGGCTCTGATGAAAATAGCCAGCAGATCATCCAGGCGTTCTCTTGTCACGGGGTCGACGAAAGGTTGCGGATAGTAAGGATCACCCTTGCAAACGACTAACTTAACTCATATTTTGAGGTGGCGTACTGTACCTGTGCGTCATGTTTAAAGATGGTAAGGTGAACTGCTTTTGTGACTCACTCGGTTGCAGGTGAAACGAATTACACTGGGCTTTTTGGTGCCGAGGAACTTGAACGGGCAGATGTGTTTTTCAAAGCTATGGTGGTCAATATTAGTATATATATTTAACTCTAATTTTAATTTTAATTTTACAGAATCTTGATTAATGTTGAATAACCTAAAAACAATCATCACCGCGTGGCTATCTGGATGCGCTGTCAAGAATGTTTTCCCGGCTTATATTCAATAGTAAAGTCGAGTGATTGCAGCTGCTCTATCGACCTCCTTCGCTTCTTGTTGGCTTGAGGAGAAACTAAAATGATCCATTCAGAGAATGACTCTCAGGTAGTGCCTCCACTTTGTCACTGCATGGATAATTCCCAGCATCTCTTGTCCATTTGCTGGTTGGCAAGACTCCACCTCCGAGAAATTCCAGCTCTCAAAAGCTATTAATCCATGCACTTGCTTCAAGATAGCTCCCACTCCAGCATCAGAAGCATCTGTTTTGAAGATGAATTTCTTGAAAATCTGGGAGATGGAGAATTGGAGCTGAGGTTCAGAGACAACGCCGCCAAGTGATCTCCTCTCTACTTTCGAGTCCATGATGGAGAATATTCGAAACGAAGACTGGATCTCGGAGGTCCCGAGCTCGACGATCCAGGGACAGACTCACGCTCCAGTTCAAACCACACGACAAGGAATGCAGCAACACCACAGCGATCCACAGCATTGCGTTCGAGAACAAAGGAGTCTCCACGATGGAGCCGGAGTTGGGCGATGGCTACAGTCGAATCGATGGAAGGTACGTCCCCACCCCCACGATCTCGAAACTATATAAGCTTCTCCATCACAGTCCGTCCTCGTTTGTTCTCTTCCTCAGGTACATTGGTGGCGTGAACGAATTGAAAAACAAGGGCCACCTTCGCAAGCTCTTGCATGATCCAAGCGGGCGGAGAGACGGCTTGCAAGGGGTGTGGAGGAGCGAGCTTGGTGCCATGCTGCCGGTTCGGACAGGGCTGTACGGTGGTACGGTGCCCGCAAAAGGCTCATCGGAAAAGGTGGCGGACTGGTATAAAAGAGCCCCAAAGAGGTGAAAGGACAAACCCTATCACACCGACTATAGTGGGCGATGTCTGAAATCTGTTGCTTGTTGGGTGGCGCGTGGTTTGCGGGTTGGAGCTGCTGGTTGTGCATTAAAGATGGAGATTGCAGCTTTGGTGAGGCGGGGTATGGCACTGGAGCTTCCACCAGGGATGGCGAGGCCGAGAAGAAAGTTGAGAATGGCATGGATTCGGTGGTACTTCCCCTGGAGCTCTACAGCGTGAGGGAGCGAGGGAGAGAGGAGTGCCCCATTTGCCTTGGGGATTTTGGCGATGGGCAAGAGGTGAATGTGTTGCCCAAGTGCAGGCACTTCTACCATCGCGACTGTATCTCGATGTGGCTCTCCAAGAAACACACTTGCCCGATTTGCCGCTGTAGCGTCTGACACGAGCCAACCGAACTTAAAAGGCTCTGAAATTACAAAGACTTAAGTTGATGATGCAGAAGATATCTTGGAATAGAAGAAATGTGAGCTCCTTTTTATTAGAAAGATTTTTATCACCAAAACAAAAACAATACCATCGTTTAGGACTTAGTCGCTGTCCACCACAGTTAGGCGAGCGATGGTGGAAATCACTCCATCAGTAGCACTGTTCACGGATGCAGTGGCCTCGTCCAGTACCCCAACACGGGCTTGTTTTAGCATAACTCGTCCAGGAATAACGAAGATGATCTGCGATCCAAGCTCAGCATCATTCCACAGGATCCAACGCTGATAGGACAGTTTGCTAAGTTTCTTAAAACTAGTTATTCTTGTAATTGGTAAGTGCACCCTTGGATAAATGACTAGGAGACCTCGTGCGTGGCAAAGAAGAAAAGCAGTAAACGTGTAAAAGTTTTCTTTCTTTTCTTATGTCTGAAAATGGTGAGAACTGGAGCATGGGACAGAGACAATTGTTTTGCCTCATTCCACCAAGAACAAACATAAATCCTGATGATAAACCCTCGATAATGTACTGCCCATTCACTCGGCCCAGCAAGAATACCACTGGACGGATCGCAAGCGGTGAATTTATGCCTTTGTTGTTATTTAAAGTTCCAAAGCCATTATAGAAGTTTAGAAATTCCTACCTTAAGCTCCACTAGTGGAAACACTGAAGCGTTTCCAGGCCAGCTTTCCGGAAGCTTAGAGTCTTCAATCTCTCATGGTGCCTCGCTGCGAATGCGAGAGTACTGCTGCCGGGAGAGATAACCGAGTAGAAGCAAACAGAAACCAAGTTGGTGAGGAGTTATAGCCTCATAGAGGCCCACTCCATGGCTGCAGCCGAGTAGAGATAGGCTCGAGCAGACGTGTCGATCCTGTGCATGAAACGCAAAAGCCTCCTACTGTCGGAGCTCCTGCGATAGATCCCGCAAAGTGGTGACTCATTCTGGATGCCTTGAAGCCTGGAAAGCTCCCTGCTGACGGTATGTAATATCTCGGCAAATAAATTCAACTCTCATTAGGACAGAGGTATTGATTGAGAAAGAGATTTATCTGTAGCAAGATACTGAAAACAAACACAAGAGCAAAAACGATTAAAACACAACTCCCACAATGTATAAAAGCTGTGGACTCCTGAGAACGCAACTCCCCCAAGCCTGTAAGGCACATTTAAGTCGAGAGCACTTCGGTCTGTAGAAGCTGGTTTTAAAACTTTGTGGGAGCTTTTATACATTCTACCAGTTGGGAGTCCCACATCAATTGGCGAATGAAAGAACTTCTGAAATTTCGCGAGGCTGATGACATGATGTAGCACCCTAGGTGTGCAAGAGGGCGGCCCTGTTAGGCGGCGCAGTGCGAGCTTCCCCTGGAACAAGTGCCGCCTCCTTCCCCGCGTGCCGTGCAGCATCGCCAGGGATCTCGGCATCGGCTGGGCGATCCATGCTCGCGTCCTTCACACCACAGCGTGGTTCAATCCTTGCCTTCAATGCGGTGAGAAGTGCGCGGTCGTCCCACATATGGGAGTGAGAAAGAGCGTGTTCAAAGATACAAAAGGAGTGGAGTTGTGGGCGCTTGATTGATGCTCAAGATCATCCCTTACGTGCCAGATGCGTCGGAGTTGCAAGAGCCATAGAAACTTCCTTGGGACAAGCCTGTAAATATTGGTGGCGTAGCTCGTAGTCCTCTTGGGAAGAGAAAAAGAACAAGATCAAGTGGCTATTCCTCTTCCTTCTCCTCCGGTCAGGAGCTCATTTGAAATCTTTGCAAAAACGAAAGACCAACACACACAAAAACGAGAGAGCAGCGTGAGCCAAGCAAGCAGCGATCCAGGCAGCCATAGCAGCAATCCAACTTCTCTGCAAGAAGATGCCGAATATTCCTTTTCGGCTGAAACAAAAACATTGCAAATGAATGCCAGGTCTCCAAGAGCTTTGGACTCAGCTCCAAAACACTCCTATCTTATAATAGCTAAAGATTTTACGTAGCCTGAATGGAGGTCTTCCTCATTGACAGTGCTACACCTCTTACTTCAAGGCTCATCAATGTCATATTCTGTGTCAGATAAAAACCACAACCTTCGGAGTCAAAGTCACGTATTCCAGAATGTATCTTACCTTCGACGGGATGAGTTGTCATCCAATCCTTCCAAAGAGTCGTCAGACCAGTACCGCCACATGCCACATAAACGGCTGCTTTCCGGTGCTCAAGGGCAGCACCGAGCGCTGAGGACATCAGACAGTTACAGTTAAGTTAAAACTGCCAAGAAGAAGGGTGGCCGGAAACCAAACCTTTCGCGAAGTCAGGATCCCTGCTGATCATCTTGCTGTAGAAGTCACGGATGCTAATCATATCGAACTTCCTCTGCCCATAATTCTTCTTGGACCGAGTATCGCGAGCCGGGATCTCCTCGAATTCCACCACAATTCCGCCAAGATTTCCACGGCTATCAAGTACTGGAGCACCAACCTCCACCATCTCGAACGGAAGATCACCTTGCGGTAAGGCTTGCACTCGCCACTGCTAAGGCTTCGACCGTCAAGGAAGATGCCCGACACGCACTTGATGTCCCCGGACTCTGGGTCGCGCTTCCAGCTATAGGGACTACCCGAGTTGCAGAACCAGTCATTCCAGTTGATGCAATAGTTGAAGATGACGCCAGGTTCGATCGGCGTCAGAACGGCGATCGGATCCTTGAAAGACACCATGCACTCGTACTCCAGTGCTGGATCCGAGAACACCAGGATGTGCCTGCCAGAGGTGGAGCTACGGTCGCAGCAAGAGGCGGCGGTGAAGCAAGATCCATCGGGTTTCACCAAGGCGGCCATGCCCCTGTAGTTGTCGTCGCTCGGCTCGTCATCGCCCTCCACAAAGTGCAAGCGAGCCACCATCTTGGAGACGCTGGACTGTAGCAGTTCGCGAGCTTGCTCTGGCCTCAAGCGCCTAAACGGGCCACCGCCCTTGAGCTCCTTGACGTACGGCCACAGGTTTTTGACACTGTTGTGGAATGCCTTGCGCTGCCTCGACTCTGCGGCCTCTCTCCTTTGCTTCTTCCTTGCCACCAGATCCTCCTCGTCTCGCTGTCGGATGAGATCCTGGACGGCGGGGTGATCGCAAGCCGAGCACGCATCCCTGGTGGCAGAGCAGCGGCGGCCAGTGACGAGGAGTGCTTGGTCGTGGCTGCTACCATCGCCCAAGTCGGGCTGGTCTTGGAGCAAGGCTACCATGTCGTCAAGCGAGAGCACCGAGTTGCCGTCGGCGTCTGGGACTAGAGCGCAGTCGGCGATGCGGAGGGAGTCCGGGTCCAGGCCCCAGTGGCGAGCGATGGAGCTTACCATCATCTTGGCGCCGTCCTGGAGTGGGAAGCACAGCGCCTCGTCCCCCCACTTCACCCACACCACCGCCATAGCTCCGCTTCGACCTAATTAAAATTGCTAAACTGCGTCACTGCCGTTAATTAAACACAAATCCGGCCGTTGTCTCAATTTTGCGTCGATCAGCTTTCGGTCCGCAAGCTTGAAGTCTGTATATCCGAGGTGGTGGATTTCCCATTGCTTTCCACTTGCAAGCGGTCCTCCACTGGTGGCTCCGCTAAAACTCTTATCCCATCCAAACGTACAAACAAACCAGAGAAAAATAAAACATTAAATCAATAGGACATTATTTACCTTGATGTGGAAAGAAACTCTGCAAACACTAACACAAGTTGTATTTTGTCTCCTACTATTGATACAATGGCCTCCATCTGAAAACCGCCCCAAGAGTGCACACTTTGGGGATAAAAGCCTTATCAATGAAGTAATGATTCAGAGTATGAGTCAGCTGTCATAGTAGAACTAGATTGAACGTTGACACCAGTTTATGCCCAAGAGTTTAAGGATCTCAATTGGTGTACCCTAAAATTATTACTAATTCCCCACTAATTAAGCACACTTAGTTTAAATTTTTGATTACTGCTAATATATCACTAATTAATCATACTTAGTTTAAAACCATAATTATATATGATGGGCACACTTTAACCCTTTGACATATTTATATGACACATTTCCCTCAATATTCACTAAATGATAGTTTCTAATGTCTACCAAAAATATAATTTCCCATTATGAGGTCCAAGTGTATAGTTACGATGCCATATACTAATATTAGCATAATGGGATTTTGGTAATTGTTAAATTGGTTTCAATCCAGACCACTCACTTTTATATATAAACTAAGGTTTTTTGGTTAATTAATATGCACATTTTTTGTATTCTCTTTCCATATTCCATGCACTCACATTGGTGGAAGTGAGGGGCACATTTCAATGTCCTTAAGAAGTGCTTGGATTTGGGATTTTGGTTTAAATTTAACTTTTGCATTATCTAGATCTAATTTTTTCCATTTCTTTTTTTTTATTGTTTTCTTTTAAGATTTTGGTTTAGATCTAGCTTTTCCATTATTTAGATTTCCCTTTCCTTTTAGTTTTTTTTTTTTCATTTCTCTTCTTTTGCTCTTTCCTTTTCATTCATTTTCATAGCAAAGCAATAGTCTCTTCCTCCTTTGACTCTGGAGCAGCAATTGATGCAATTGCTTGATGTTATGTGATTACAATTGAATAATCAAACTTAGTTGATGGCGATATTCATAGCATGTGGTACAACTCCTCTTGCTCTTGGTGCCAATCTTCACGTTCAACCAAAGTTCTTTCATGGGAATCTTGGGGATGATGTATATTATTAGTTTGATCACTTCACGGTGATTGCCACAATCATTCTTAGGATGATGTTCACTTTTTGCATGAGTTTCCCACGTGTCTCCAAGGGACGGCACTGCAATGGTACAATTGTTTGAGTGCAGCCACTCGTAGGGATGGAGTGTTTTCCCAGACGTCTTCAAACACACATTTAGACATGCCGATGATTGTGATGATGCCTTCTAACAATTGCATTGTTTTCGTCAAGGGCCATTGGAGTCAGTGATGCAATTTAGTGCTCATTTCTGAAGCCTGTTACTTTGTGTGGAGACAAATATGTCGGAGCAGATCAAGCTAGGATTGTTGTGGACAACACTTATCAAGATCTTGCTGGACTTGTGTATGCACTTACTCCAACCACATTTAACGATGCTCTTTCCTTGGCACAATGTTATGAGATATTGCTTCTTCCACTTCTTGCTACACGTCCTTCAGCTCCACTTCATGTGGGTGATGGTCCTATTCCAATGGAGGTTGATGCTGCTGCTGCTCGAGTCTAAGAACAAGGGTGAGGACGTGGTCATGGTCATGATATTCGCTGTTGGGCATGTGATGAAGTTGGTCACACTTATCGGCGTTATTGGCGTTTTTCATATTGGTGATCAATTTCCTGGGTGGAGACCTTGGTGTCAACGTCCTGTTGGTGTTGTTGCAATGGAAATGCTGGATATCGAGATGCATCTAGGAAATGAGGAGTCATGCAAGTAAGGAAGGGACCTTGCGCAAATAAGTCAGTGACCCTTCCATCTTTCTTTCAGAAGTATCATCAAAGGGTTCACTTGGCACCAGTTCATTTAATATTTACTTTCCAAGCTCATTTTTATAACAAAAGGTCTCTTATTATTTTCTCTATGTTTGATATAGGTTTGAGTTTATCTTCTATTGCTTGATTTGTTGCCACATGTTGCCATCTACACTTATATCATGTAGTGGAGCTAATTTTCATTTTTTATGGCAATGGCCATATACATGCATGTGCACAGGATGAGGTAGACCTAGTTGTGCATGTGGGCAATCTTAAGCTTGAGTTGTAGTGATTGTGGATGGTGCTGAGTCAAATTTTTGACCTCATCCTTGGTATAGATTGGTTGCAATGCAATTATGCCAAGTATGATTTTGAGGCTTCTCCCTTTTGTCTCATACTTTTTTTATTTCATCAATTCCTCTCACTTCCGTACCTCTTCATTTTTTTACTTCTACCTTTGCTTTAATACTTTTGTCTCCCCACTACTTCCTCTTATATTTCCGTTTTATTCTGCTCTTCCCTTTTCCAATCCCTTTTTACAATCTTTGTATTGCAATGGTTGACCGGCTTATGAAGGAATATGTTGATTTCTTTGAATTTGACCTATTGTTTGGGGCCAAGATTGCCGCACGTCATTTGATTTCAATTGGGGATGCTCGTCCAATCAAAGTTTCTATTCGTCGTCAGTCACCCAAAGAGATCAACATTTTACATGCAAACATCAAGGAGATGTTGGAAAAGGGTGTCATTCGAAAGCCGCAGAGTCCTTAAATATGTGAACCTCATCTTGTGATGAAGCCTGATAGGAGTATTCATTTTTGCATTGATTATCGTACGTTAAATGAAGTGACAATCCTGGATGAATACCCACTTCTTCACACTGTTGATCTTTTGGATTGTTTGGGGAGAAGTTGTTGATTCACCAAAATAAATTTTACTTCTAGGTACTGGTAAGTACTAATGGCTAAAAAAGATATTCTTAAGACTGTTTTTCATATATTGTTTGGTTTGTATGAATTCTTGGTGATGCTGTTTGATTTGAATAATATTCTAGTGACTTTTTAGCAAATGATGGACGAAGTTTTTTGTGATATGCCAAAGGTGACTACTGACTTCATTGATGATGTCTTAATCTAGTAAAAGGGGATGTCGAAGGAACACATCTATGATGTTTGTAAAGTGTTGGATCGGCTACGGGTGTAAGGAACCGACTCCTCAAGGTGTCAAAGGCTAAAGGATCCCCGAAGACACGACCAAAATGATAAAGAGTTCATCGGATGAGACCGAGTCCGAGATTGAGTCCAAGATCGTCTCTAAAACTGAGTTTGAAACTGAGTCCAAGATCGAGTTCGAGACCAACTCCGAGACCAAGTTCGTGATCGAGTCTAAGATTCGATATCGGGTTCGAGACCGAGTCTGAGATTGAGTCTGAGATAGAGTTTGAGGTCGGGTCTAAGATTGAGTCCGAGACCGAGTTCAAAGTCGAGTTCAAAGCCGAGTCCGAGATTGAGTTCGAGACCGAGTTCGAATACTAATACAGGTCAAGCCCAAAGCGTGTGTCTCCTAGGGGGGGCTGCAAGGGGTTCCAAAAGTATAGTAAGGATAGTGAGGTTCAGAAACCAATCTTGAAGGAACTCTCCAATGGTGCTTCCAAACTGACTTGAGGTTGAGATTGGGGCTGAGGGGCCTTAGGTGGGAATGAGCATGGACTCGGGTGGTGCTGGAGGGGCCACCCAAGGAAGTGCTCAAGAGTAACTCCCACTCTCAGAAGGGAAACCGACTGCGGTGCTCCCGGCTCATATGGAGTGGTGCCCCATTTGAGTACCTTGCAACTCATTAGTCCTCGCCCTTCCTAGAGGCTTGGGCCTTCCCTTTGGGTGAGGGGGGGGGGGGGGGGGGGGGGTTAGAGGTACCCATACCGGGCCGTTAGGCCATGATGTTTTGCCCCGGCGTCCCAAAGCAAGTGTTGCACCCAAGGTTTAGGATTTAGAGGGTCCCAT